AATTTATTGGTTGAAACAGTAGCAATTATGTCATTAAATAATATTGAATTTGGTCGATTGTCTATTACGGGTCTTAAATGTCTTTTATCTATTACACATGAAAAAGAAATGCATTTCGTGACCCCGGAATATGAAGTTTTTCGGTATAGTGCAATTCTAGCAGCAAAACAAGTTTCTAATGATGCATATAAAACTCTCAAGAAACTGTTGCCAACTTTAGAACAAGTAGAGAATTCAATTAAAGTGGGAAATAAATTTATTACCGATCGTCAAAAAGTTGCTAAAGAATTGGAACCTTTGGTCAAGTTTATTGATTTCAGAAGAATTAAATCTCAGATATTAGCCGATTTTATTGAGCCGCTAGAAATTGTTTCAAATGAAATAATTTTTAACTTCTATCGATATGTAGCGTTATCAAATAATCTAAATTTAAGTTATACTCGTGGAAAATGACAAATTAATGAAATCGACTATGTTTGGGATAAATCAGCATGTGGATCAAAACTTATTATTGAAAATAACGGAAAAATTGTGCATGCACCAAATGGTTGTGATCACCAAAATGTTAGAGCCAAAATAGTATTAGAAAGTAATGATATTTTTGAATGGGATGTCATTATTGAGAAAGTTAGTGGTTGTGCTTGGGTTGGAGTATGTGCGTCAGAAAATTTAAATTATGAAACCTTTGCAGGAATTCAACCTACTGGATGGGTATTGGGTTCCAATGGTTATTGTAATAATTTTAGTAAAGCAGTAAAGTACTGTCTTCCATTTGGTGATGGCACAATAATTACAGTCCATTTGGATATGAATAAAAGAACTTGCACTTTTACAATCAATGGTACAAAATATCCAGAAGTATCAGCTTGGAATAATCTACCATCAAAACTTTATCCAGTAGTATCATTAAATTATCCTGGTCGTTTTCGAATTCAACCTCATCAAAAAAATTAGGACGCTAGTACAAATTTTATGACTATTTTTTTTTTTTTGAAATTAAATCATTGAATTATAGTATAGTATGCATACCAATTAAATTATTAACTGAAGCTAATTTCTTATATCCTCGTAACATCAAATTTGTTTAATCTATTATTAATACTAGTACGAGAATTGTTTCAAACTTAATTTTTTATTGAAAATTTTTAAAATTGGTAAAAAAGTAAGCTTATCAATAAATATAATGAATGTATCGATACTATTAAAATTATTCATAGTAATTAATCATTTTATTACAATAAAGAAAAATTGCTTTTAAAGATCGAAAGAAGACCGTCTTAAGATTTACCTTTTTAGTCTTATTATACAAAAATATTAATATCTAAATTATGTTTATATGATGCAAGAAATTAATGAAGGATAATCTCACTCAGTTGAACAAGTCTTATATTATGACGCTGAATTTCAATAGTATTCGTGCAATTTGTGGTTTGGTTTATTAAATAATTATTTCCAATGAATGCGTTATGCGTAGCCGAAGATATTTCTTCTTTTCATAAGGATCTAAATTTATGATATATATTAAATAAGTTATTGGTAAATTTCATCCTTTATTTTATATCACTACAGCAGTATATTCAGTTAGAAATTTCAATAATTATCTCCAAATTTTTTTTTGTGGCTATTTTATGATGGAATGAAGGAAACATAGGCAAAAAAAATCATTCTTCACGTTCATTTTTCGATCTCCTAGATTTTGTACATACCAATTCAACTTTAAAATCTTTAAAAAGAGTTATTAATTATAATCAATAATGCTGCAAATAATTCAATTATTTTCGTTTGCAATGACTTTAGTATGACTGTAACTGAAATTGTTTTAAATTTTTAATATTATAAAATAGAACTATGTCATATTCTTTATTTATTTTGTGGAATAATTGTGTTACTATACTATGATGTGTAAATTTTATTCGTTGCGCGTAAAGTTCACTGCAACATTTTATGATGCAATTTAGCATTTATAAGAATAAGGCCAACTTTCAAGTCGGTAATTCCTTTCACAATTGAGTCTACTCGCCTAGCTGAGTTCAGTATAGTATAATTTAGCAAAACTGTGAACTGCAAAACTCAGCATTACTTGTTGAGTATACGTCTCAAATTTTCGAATACTCAGATAAATATTGCATTGTAGTATAACAGTAGTATAACTATTTCCGAAAATACCCTTTTGGCTTTTTCGACTCAAAAAAATAATGAAAATGGAAAAATTCTTTGCGATATGACAAATTTTCTTTGTGATACAAATTTTATAAATATAATAAAAATTTTTAATATTTCTTTAAAATTTACTTTCTTTCAATTATTTAGAAATATTTATATTACATAATTTCAAGTGTCTATTTCAAAACAATTATCAAAGCTTTTTGTAAAAGGTAAAAAGATCTTCTATAAAAAGAAATAAAGTATATCTAATCTAATACTAAATAAGAAATAAAAAAATAAACGCTCAGCATTTATTTTTTAAATATTTTAAATATTTATCATGTCTAAAAACCTATTCCGTAACTCCTAATTCTCGCTTTAATTTAAGAATTTCCAACCTTTCCTTCTCAAGTTTCAGCTCTTTCTCTTCTAGTTCTAATTTCTCTCTCAAAGAAATCTTTTTGTTTTTCTTTTTCAAGATCATCATTTACAATTGAAGATGTTGAAGTTTGTGTGACTTTCTTCGATTTATTATTTTTTTCAGTGCAGACGGCTCAACCTTATTAGTTTTACTATAAAAATAAAATAAAGTTAAAAATATAGTAAATAAAAATTTTCACCAGCTTTTAAAATAATACTAACTGGATCTACGTATTTCTTGCTACAACCCAAGATCTTTCCCGGTTTTTTAATACTGAGTTTGACATGTATCATACTTTATAGCTCTAAATAATAATGATAAAATATTAATTAAATATAAATAAATAAATTAATTAGTATTTTACCCTAAAATTACAGCTTCAAGCGATAATGATTTACCGTCTCGATTTTCATTTGCATGGCATGATTCAGCCACATTGGTATTTATCTGGAGTTTTGTACCAGATATCTTCACTGATAAAGGAATGTAAAATATTTAACAACGCGCGCTTGTATCCAAGGAATAGTATAAAATGAAAAAAATAGAATTTTTTATTAATTAATGATAATTAACAAATAAGATTAATTGGGACATCATTATCTCCATTATCACTTAAATATCTTTCTTCGAATAAATCACAAAAATCATCAGATTGCATTTTGAAAGAGAAACCGGTTAAAAAAATAAAATTAGTACTGGTTCAGTTAAAGAGAGAAAATTTTAAGTGGGAAAAAAAATTTTGGCTTGAGACCTTTTAGAGTTATTCATAAGTTGTTGATCGAATTATGCACATGATTATTCGAATTTTTCAAATTTAAATTTAATTATGAAGAAGTAAACTCTACGCAAATCACAAAATAATTAAAATACTATACAGTATTTCGTCACTATACTATAGAGTATAATAGTATTGCATAAAATCAGCACAATTGTATAGTATTGACAAGTAGACTATACTCTGCACTCTCTGTAGATTCAATTGTGAAAATATATAATCCTTTCAAGTGCGTATATTTAGCGTTTAAAGGTTTGTATTATTTTTACGTTAATGGTGGATTTAATATATTAATTTCTCTTTAATAAGAAAAAGATGATTCTTTGGGATTTTATTTATATTTGCGTAATACAGTTGTTGCTTCTAAGACAAAAAAAATTATTACTCTATAAAAGGTATGGTTCCTAAAATGGTTTTGTAAAATAAGATCTATTTGAGGAGGTGAAGTTTATTTTAAACCAAAATTACAAAGCATAAATAATTAACATAGAAATAGTAAGGTTCAATAAAATTATCGGCTAATCCATTGAAATTTAAAATTATGTATTAAAATGTATTGGTTAAAGACCGATTAATAATGTCATTAACCAAAGTTCTTAATCTCGTTTAATATTAAAGAATTAGTATGTAAATTACACCAATGTGGGTTTCTCACATATTTAATTGTATTTAGGGAAATCGTATTTTATTGATTCAATAAAAATACGAGAAAGTTTGGAGAACACGTGACCAAAGCACGTGCAAAATTATTATGAAGGCGCAGCTAAAAATTCGTTTGATATGCATTTTTTGGTTTAGTACAACATAGTACAGAACATATAAATATTCATAAATGGGTTGAAAAAAAGTATTACTTTTTCTAAAAAAAAAAAGTTTCTTGAAAAATTACAAGAGGATATTTGTTAGAACAAGATTTAAGATTATTAATAAATAATCCAAAGTATAGTGACATAGAAATTTTATGTGAAGATGAAAAGAAATTACATGGTTGTAGAGCAATTTTAGCAGCAAGGTCCGAAGTATTTGATAGACTGCTTTATAATGGGATGAAAAAGAATTACGATAATCAAATTTCTTTTCCAAAGATTAAGTCCTCTGGAATGGAAATTGTTTTAGAATATATTTATACGGGATTAGTTAAAGAAGAATCTTTAACAAAAGATAATGCAGTTGAAGCTTTTTACGCTGCTGATTATTTTCAATTATCAGACCTTCAGGATTTTATTACAAAAACGGTTAAGAGTACTAATTTAGTTAAAAATTATTCACCGGAATTACTATCTAAAATTACGGAAAAAATTCCATTAGCGAAAGATAATATTTTTCTTAATTTATTGGTTGAAACAGTAGCAATTATGTCATTAAATAATATTGAATTTGGTCGATTGTCTATTACGGGTCTTAAATGTCTTTTATCTATTACGCATGAAAAAGAAATGCTTTTCGTAACCCCGGAATATGAAGTTTTCCGGTATAGTGCAATTCTAGCAGCAAAACAAGTTTCTAATGATGCATATAAAACTCTCAAGGAACTGTTGCCAACTTTAGAACAAGTAGAGAATTCAATCAAAGTGGGAAATAAATTTATTACTGATCGTCAAAAAGTTGCTAAAGAATTGGAACCTTTGGTCAAGTTTATTGATTTCAGAAGAATTAAATCTCAGATATTAGCCGATTTTATTGAGCCACTAGAAATTGTTTCAAATGAAATAATTTTTAACTTTTATCGATATGCGGCGCTACCAAATAATCTAAATTTAAGTTATACTCGTGGAAAACGACAAATTAATGAAATCGACTATGTTTGGGATAAATAAGCATGTGGATCAAAACTTATTATTGAAAATAACGGAAAAATTGTGCATGCACCAAATGGTTGTGATCACCAAAATGTTAGAGCCAAAATAGCATTAGAAAGTAATGACATTTTTGAATGGGATGTCATCATTGAGAAAGTTAGTGGTTGTGCTTGGGTTGGAGTATGTGCGTCAGAAAATTTAAGTTATGAAACCTTTGCAGGATTTCAACCTACTGGATGGGTAATGGGTTCCAATGGTGATTGTTATAATTCTAGTAAAGCAGTAAAGTACTGTCTTCCATTTGGTGATGGCACAATAATTACAGTCCATTTAGATATGAATAAAAGAACTTGCGCTTTTACAATCAATGGTACAAAATATCCAGAAGTATCAGCTTGGAATAATCTACCATCAAAACTTTATCCAGTAGGATCATTAAATTATCCTGGTCGTTTTCGAATTCAACTTCATCAAAAAAATTAGGACGCTAGTACAAATTTTATGACTATTTTTTTTTTTGAAATCAAATCATTGAATTATAGTATCATATTATGCATACCAATTAAATTATTAACTGAAGCTAATTTCTTATATCCTCGTAAAATCAAATTTGTTTAATCTATTATTAATATTAGTACGTGATATAAAAGGATTGTATCGAATATCATTTTCTATTGAGTAATGTAATTAGTCGGTAAAAAAGTAAGCTTAGTCAGAATATTCAATAAATATAATAAATGTATCTGTACTATTAAAATCATGCAGAATTTGTCATATTATTATAAAAAAAAATTCGCTTCGAAAGTTCAATATGAATGGTTACAAGAATCTAAGAACTTACACTTCGTTACGATCGTGTTTTCTTGAAAAAGAAGACCGTCTCAAAATATACCTTTTTTGTCGTATTGTATAAGAAAATTAAGATCTAGATTATCGTTTATATCATGCAAGAAATTTATTTCTAACAAATAATTGTGAATGCGCAGCTAAAGATATTTCTCTTTTTTTAAATTTGTGATATCGTTAGTAATTTTCACTCACAAAATTTTATATCAACCATTATATATTTACTATCAGACATCTCAAATCTTGTTCTAACAAATATCTTTCTTCAAATCTTTTTTTTTTTGCAATTATAGCAATATTTGGCCGGCTATTTTATGATGGAATGTTAATCAAATATTCATACAGGCAAAATCATACGCCATTATTAACCGACGTCTTCATTTTTCAATCTCCTGGATTTTGTATCAATTCAACTTTGAAATCTTTGAGAAGAATTATTAATTATAGTCAATATAATGCTGCAGATTATTCAATTATTTTCGTTTGCAAGAACTTCTTTACAGAAACTTCAAGATCGTAGCGATGGCTTAATGCGCAGTAACTGCGTTATAAATACATAGTGACCACATGATGTAATCGTAAAGAAATTACATATATGCAGTTACTGCGCATTAAGCCATCGCTACGATCTTGAAGTTTCTGTAAAGTTTATGACAGCGAATTGTTATAATATTATAAAGAAGTAGAGCTATGTTAGTATATTCTTTATTTATTTCGTGGAATAATTATGTTATTATACTACTATGATGTGCACAGAAATTTTATTTATGAACAAACTTTTATATTATTTAATAGTAAGGAATAATTCTTATATAGCGATTGTAAATTTTATTCGCTACGCGTAAAGTTCACTGCAACATTTTATAATGTAATTTATTTATAAGAATAAGGCCAACTTTCGGATCATTATGAAGGCGCAGCTTTCATATGATATTGTTACTACCGGTTTCTACGTTAGTAACAGAAAGAAATATAAGGATCGGTTAATAAATGGCAGGGTAATATAACGATGTATGACAAACGATAAGATAAAAATAAACGATAATAAACGATTATGTACGATAAAAAGTGATATGATAAATTGAGGGTATTTCGGATGGTGTATAAAAACAATTAATAAATAATTAATTATAAAATGTATACGATTAATCAACGATGTATAACAAATAATTAGCAAATGGTAATAAATGATAATTATAGGGTAAGATAATAAAATGATAATAAACAATAATAAACAGTGTATATAAAAAAATATAATAAAATGTATATGAACAATACGGAGACAGATCGGCGGTTTAATATTAACAATTAAGCAAGAATACGATATTGTTACCACCGATTTATGACGTTTGGTAGGTAGTAACAGAAATAAATATAAGGATCGGTTGATGAACGATAAAATAATATGACGATATATAAGTATATAACTGATGATAAAGTGAAAGTCTATACGGTAAACAATAATGGGCGATTATAAACGATAGTTAATGATATTATGGATTAAGGGTAAATCGGATAATATGTTTATAATATCGATTAATTATAAATGTATATAGCAAATCAACGATGTATAACGAAAGTTAACAAGTGTTAATAAATGATAATAAATCAATAATAAACAATAATAAATAATGTGATAAAATGCGATAAATCGTGTATAAATAATAATTCGGAAGCAAATCGACAGGTTTATTCGTTAATAAAAGAATACGATTCTGTAATATCCCGATATCTATCTTATAACAATAAAACTAGACGAATTCTAAACTTATCATGAACTTTTATCCTCCAACATCGGCCCTTTATATAACATTAAATTTTTAGGACGAATCTGTCCTTCGGACATAATTGTCTCCCGGCCAATATCATTTCCCGGCCAATTGTGGCGATCTGGGCACATTTGTCTATACAGCCACTTATATTCAGCCACTTTATATCGCTAAGCATCCGCTTTTTATCTAATCTATAAACAACTAAAAACAACTACAGGTAATATAACTAAAAATAACTAAAAATAACTAAAAGATAAAAATAGAATAAAAAAATAAAAATAAATAAAATAAAAATAAAAAAAATATCCCGTGACAATATTAAATAGATCTTATTTTACAAAACCATTTTAGGAACCATACTTTTTTATAGAGTAATAATTTTTTTTTTGTCTTAGAAGCAACAACTGTATTACACAATTATAAATAAATCCCAAAGAAACAATTATAAGAGAAATTACTATATATTAAATCCACCATTAATTGTTAACGTAAAAATAATACAAACCTACAAACCTTAAACACTAAGTACACTTGAAAGTTGGGGTGAATGAATCTTATTTTTATAAATAAATTACATCATAAAATGTTGCAGTTATAGTAGGGTGCCGAAACATTTCGACATATATATGCAATTGCAGAAACTATTGCCGAAATCCCAAACTACTATTAGACCATTACTAAATCTAGATTTAGGTTAAATTTTCAGTAAAATTAGGATTTTGGAAATGGCTTAGGATATTAGCAATGGGTTTAGGTTTTCAGATTTGGCAACTATATAAACTAAAAGCTGAACTATTTTCAGTATATGGTCAATAAGTTTCGGCATATGAATAGTTTCGGCACCCAACTATAGTTGCAGTGAACTTTACGCGTAGCGAATAAAATTTACACATCTGTCATAGTATAATAACATACTAGTTATTCCACAAAATAAATAAAGAATATAAAATTGGTACAAAATCCAGGAGATCGAAAAATGAACGTGAGGTATGATTTTTGCTTATGTATAAATATTTGAATAATAATTCTTTATAACTATATTCTAGCATAATAATTCATTCCAGAGGAATTGTTTTTTTAAAAGAAATTCAACTTTCCTTCATTCCATCATAAAATAGCCACAAAAAAAATTTGAAGATATTTATTGAGATTTCTAACTGAATAAATATACTGTTGTAGTGATATATAAAAGGGTGAAATTTACCAATGACTTATTTAATATATATCATAAATTTAGATCCTTATGAAAAAGAAGAAATATTTTCGGCTACGCATTCATTGGAAAAAATAATTATTTAATTAACTCAAACCATAAATTGCACGGATACTATTGAAATTCAGCCTCATAATTTAAGACCTGTTCAATTGGGTGAGATTATCCTTCATTAATTTCCTGCATCATATAAACATAATTTAGTAGGTATTAATATTTTTGTATAATACGACTAAAAAGGTACAGTGGTGAGCAAAATTATTTGGAAAACTTTAAAGTGAATTTACTCAGCAACCAGTGATTATATTTGCAAATAATTTAATTTATTTAAAAGTACAATACCACGAAATTTAAACTATAGACAATTATAAAATTTATCCTCTCCTTACTTATTCAATAATTTCCTTAAAAGTTAATTTATTGAGTTAATCAAATCATTTTACTTTTTTTGGAAATAAAATTTTCATTCCTTAACGTTTAACATTTTTAAATTCCCCAAATTTTGTGATTTCCATTTTATTTGTGTTTCTGTTAATAAACTTCTACAATTTTTTGATTATGTTAGAATGGTTTATTTTAATTATTCAACAGTTTCTTTGTGATTTCAATTTTTAGCATTAGCTAGCAAGCAAAAAAAATTTTTTATAACAATAATGATAAAAATATTTTTTAATTATATGTATGAAAATTATTATTATTTAAAATGCATGGTTTTTCGGCCAGATTATTGGTCATTGTCATAAAATTCCATTTAATGCATCAATTTTAATAATTATTGCGATATTTATATCATTTTTTTAGTCGATTTTCATTAGGTTTTTAAACCATATCTTCCCATCCTCTTATTGTTTTATAATTTTTTAAACTATAATAAAATCTGGAGACTCTAGTGATGATATGAAGTTAAATTCCATTCAAATACTGCGCTTCTTTAACCCACAATTATAAATTTACTTTTTGCTATCATTTTTTAATAAAATCTTTTATTTCTGTGTTATTTTTTCTTGAAAAGTCTTATATAAAAGGTCGTGTAAAGAAAGAATATTTATTTGGAGGCGTATAGCATTTGATTAAGTATTTTGTAATTTGATCTGCAATTTTCAACAAGCCACATCACGTGATTGCACACACGTGACGATTTTCCAAATAATTTTGCTCACCACTGTATATCTTAAGACGGTCTTCTTTTCAAGAAAAGACCTACTAATTTATTACGTGATACGATCGTAACGAAGTATAAATTTTTAGATTCTTGCAACCATTCAAATCGATCTTTAAAAGCAATTTTTCTTTCATTGTAATAAAATGATTAATTACTATGAATAATTTTAATAGTATCGATACATTCATTGATAAGCTTACTTTTTTACCAATTAAATTTTCAATAAAAAATTAAGTTCGAAACAATTCTTGTACAAGTATTAACAATAGATTAAATAAATTTGATGTTAATAATTCAATTAGTACATATTAGTATAATTGATAATTCTTAAATTAGTTTTACTGTATTCAAAAAAGATATACAATACATATAAAGTCATAAAATTGTAATAAATATTTTAACTTTTTTGATGAGGTTGAATTCGAAAACGACCAGGATGACATAATGATACTACTGGATAAAGTTTTGATGGTAGATTATTCCAAGCTGATACTTCTGGATATTTTGTACCATTGACTGTAAAAGCGCAAGTTCTTTTATTCATATCTAAATGGACTGTAACTATTGTACCATCACCAAATGAAGGACAGTAATTCATTACTTTTTTATTAGAATTATAACAAAAACCACAGTCACCCAATACCCATCCAGTAGGTTGAATTCCTGCAAAGGTATCATAATCAAAATTTTCTGACGCACATATTCCAACCCAAGCATTACAACAAACTTTTTCAATAATTACATCCCATTCAAAAATGTCATTACTTTCTAATGCTATTTTGGCTCTAACATTTTGGTGACCACAACCAATTGGTGTACGTACAATTTTTCTGTTATCTTCAATGATAAGTTTTGATCCACATGCTTTCTCATCCCAAACATAACCGGATAGATTAATAGGTTTTCCACGAATATCGCATGAATCTAAATTACTTAATAGTGCTACATGTCGATAAGAATTAGAAATTATTTCAATTGGAATAATTTCTAGTGGCTCAATAAAATTGGCTAATATCTTAGTTTTAATTCTTCTGAAATCAATAAACTTAATCAAAGGTTCTAATTCTTTAGCTACTTTTTGCCGGTCTGTGATAATTTTATTTCCCACTATGATTGAATTTTCTATTTGTTCTAAGGTTGGTAGCAGTTCTATGAGAGCTTTACAAGTATCATCAGAGACTTGTTTTGCTGCTAGAATTGCACTATACCGAAAAACTTCATACTCTCGAGTTGCAAAAGGTAATTCTTTTTCATGTGTACAAGATAAAAGATATTTAAGACCTGTAATAGATAAACGACCAAATTCAATATTATTTAATGGCATAACTGCCACTGTTTCAACCAATAAATTAAGAAGAATATTATCTTCTGTTAATGGAATTTTTTCTGAAATTTTAGATAATAATTCCGGTGAATAATTTTTAACTAAATTATTATTCTTAACTGATTTTGTAATAAAATCCTGAAGGTCTGATAATTGAAAATAATCAGCAGCGTAAAAAGCTTCAATTATATCTTTTTTTAAAGATTCTACTTTAACTGAACCTGTATAAATATATTCTAATATGATTTCCATCCCTGCGGAATTAATCTTTGGAAAAGAAATTTTATTATCATAACTTTCTTTCATTCCATTATAAAGCAGTCTATCAAATACTTCGGACCTTGCTGCTAAAATTGCTCTACAACCATATAATTTCTTTTCATCCTCGCATAAAATTTCTACGTCGCTATACTTTGGATTATTTATTAATAATCTTAAATCTTGTTCTAGTGAAAATCCTTTTGTCATTTTAAAGTTATTTTTTTTTTTCTCTCTCAAAAAGAAGAAAATTTAAAAATGGTCCGATTTTTGGATTAAAACATATATTTATATATATGTTGTACTATGTTGTACTAAAATATTATGTAAATCCATTGAAATATCCTTTGTCATTGATTTAGGGTATCAAATTTTAACAGGACCCAGAAATATATATATAGGGGTCAGGTGATGTACTATGAGTTGTACGCATTTTTTCAGAGCCGGAATTATGATAATGTCAGTCAGTTACTATAATGGGAAATAAAATTCTGACTGGAATTATCAAAATTATCTAAAAAAGGAAAGATTTTCATGATTTTTTTAGTTCAAAATACGCAAACTCAAACCTATATATTTCTGGGTCCTATTTTAACGGAGTAGTAAATCACTAATTCAAAAATTTAAATTTATCGACTATTAACATTTGAGTTGAGCCTTTCTTTCAGTTCGTTAAGTAAAATTATCGTGCTCCGTATATTAAATATACCGATAATGTTATTTTTAAAAAAATCAAAAATAAGCTATAATTAACGTTAAGCTATAATTAAGCTAAAGTCAATGGGTCACATGATAATATTGTTATACGTGACCAAATCTTTACCAATCATCTGCTATAATTGGTTAATAATTGTGATATTAATCGTTGCAAACATAATTATTTTAAGAATTCACGTGCAACGAAAAAAAATTTTGCTTCACATAGCTCATGTTTTATGACACCGTTAGAAACAATTTTTTTTGTGTTTATAATCAGATTTTCTTTACTTTAGCAGTCACAAATTGATTGCGTGGGTTATGAACGGGACACAATGAGATATCTCTTCCTTTATAACTATTAAAAAAAGTATAAATTACAATTCATTTGACGGTAAAACTATTTATGAGATTATACAGTATTTATAAAAATGTTGGTTTTCTTTTTAAGTGTAAAATTTTATACACATAACACGCAAGGAATAAATTTAAAATAATCCTTTAATTAGTGGTAATAAATAATTTTTTCTAAAACAAACACTCATAATAAATAATGTCGATAAAATAAACTCATAAAGCTTATTGTCGTTTAGTATAAGTTTAAAATCTAAAAATTATCATTTATTTTTTTTAAACTATTAGATTATGTCTATATATAAAACTTTTTGTTCAGTGTACGCACTGTCTCTTATACACATCTAGATGTGTATAAGAGACAGGTGTACGCATGCTCCAACATTCTAACGCTCGAACGGACCAATCCTATTCGAATATTGCCCAACTTTTGCTCGTTTCAAAAAAAAAAAAAATCAGCAGATTTTATATAATGAAAATATTTTATAAATAGTTAATATGATATAATTTACATAATATTTTCCGTATCCTGAAATTCTTTTCCAAAGTATTTTAACAATTCTCCGCCATGAAAATGAAAATCATCTGCACAACATAAAAATCTTTACTATATTAGATTTAGTTAAAAGGTCCCCGTCCTGGAACCGAATAAGGTTAACCAGTTGATTATGTAGATCATAAAATCCTGACGACATTTTCGAGAATGTCAGTTATGTAATATGTAGTGCAAGTCGAACAAAGCATGTGATTTACCTAAACCATTTTCATTGTCAGATTGTCAATAGTTGTGTTTACGGACAGGAATGAGGAAATGGTTTAGTACATCAGGGGTAAAAAGACAATGTTTTCTTTGAGAAATTCCGGACTTTCTAATGTATGATTTTTTTTATACAATTGGAATTATAAGATATTCTTGCGTGGTATGACGTATTCCATAAATATTTGATCATACTAATATCGTAATTGTTCCACTACATAATAATCTTTACTTATTCCAGGATTCTAATACATATTAGTTAAATTCTTTTTTTGTAAAATTAATAAGTTCAAAACGGCTATTTATCACAAGATGTTCAATATTAATTTTAGTGCCTAAAATTTATTAGGAAATGTATCGGAATAAAAATTTTCCATATTTATAGGTTGATCAACAAATTTTTTGGACTAAGGTAATATCCGTCACACCATGATCATTTCAATATTAGTACGGATTTCATATCCTGCATTTTGGATTTGACCCTTATGGAAAAAAATTCGGCTGATATATTTTTTTTTTTCTCTCCCTTTCTTTTTTTCCCCAATGGCATGTTCAAAAATATTTTCAGGAAATTTACCTGAATTATTAAATGAAATTATACAATATTTTCGTAACGATTTTTTAACATTACATTCATGTATTTTAGTTAATAGATTATGGTGTCGTTTGGCTATTCCATTATTATGGGAAGATCCATTCTCTAATCCTACAGCAAATTATCATTTCATTAGAAATTTTTTATATAATTTAAATGATAATGATAAAACAAAATTAATTGAATATGAAATTAATATTGATTTAATACCATCAAACACATTATTTAATTATCCTAATTATATTAAATGTTTAAATACATGGAAAATTTTTCATTATATTGAAAAATGGATTGATTTTATTAAATTAGGAACACCTTTAAATTCTGATAAGATAAAAGAAATATCAAAAATAATTTATAATTCCATATTAAAAAATGAAAATAATATTAATTTACGTATATTTGAAATTATATTAATTAGAGATCATGATTATTTTAATGATATATTGGAATTAATATTACAAAATCAGAATTTAATTCTTAATATTAAAAATTTAAAAATTTCATTTAATGGAATTATTAAAACAACAAATATATTTTATGATTTTTTAAAATTTTTATATAATAATTGTAAAACAATTTCAATACTTTATTTTCATCATAAGATGAATTATGATGATTTATTAATCATAAAATATTGTTCTGAATTAATCATTTCACAACAAAATCTTGAAAAAATGTTATTTGGATTTCATATTTATAATTCAATATTTTTATCATTAAAAAATTCAAATTGTTCAAATACTTTAAAAACTATTATATTTTATAATATAAATTTTAAAAATATAACAAATTTTAAACAAGTTATTGAACAATTAAATGTTTTAAAATCTATTCATATACTTTATTGTTTTTCTTTAAATTATGATTTTATTCAACAAATTATTAATATTAACAAACCATTTAAATTAACTTCATTATTTATGAAAGAAAAATTTCAAATTGATAATTTTCAAGCTTTATTACAAATTTCTGGTGATTATTTAGAAAATATTGGTTTATTAACTAGTAATAAATTAAAATATCAATTACTTGAAATTATTATAAAATATTGTAAAAATATCAAATTTTTTGATTTACCAGGTTTTGATTATCAAAATATTTATTTATCAATGGATTTAATTAAAAAATTTAATAATCATCATCTTAATTATATTATAATTGATTTTGATAGACTTCATATTCTTAATCAACCAAATGATGATATTCTTAATATTAGTTCAATTATATTAAAAGAGTTAGGTCAAATTTTACCTTTAAAATTGGAATATTTAGATTTATCTCTTTCAATTGATGAAAATATTTTTGAAATATTTTTAAAAAATTCTCAAAATACTTTTATTAAGAAATTATTAATTAATAATAAAATTCAAATAGGAAATGAGAATATTTTATCTTTTATAAAAGAATATATTATGAAAAAGAAAAAAATTGATTATTTTGCTTTTAAAATGAAGGATGATTCAGATGATTCAATAGAAAAATGTAAAGATTTATTTTCTATGAAGGATGAAGTTAAGATATTTGAATCATATAATATTAAGGTTCAAAATTATGGTGATTTAAAGATTCAACATTATAGTTATATAGAAGAAATGTATTAGTTTATAATTTAAGTTAGATTTTTAAAGTTTAGATGTGAAAAAAAAAAAAAATATTTTTTTTTTATTATGTAATTATGTATAAATAAATTATTCTATATTATATTGATGATTATTCCAAAAAAAAATTTTTTATTATATTTTATTATGTATCAAATATATTTATTAAACGTCTAAAACATGTACATCTACTCCAAAAAAAATAAATAAATAAACGTCTAAACTCATATAATTAATTTTAATTAATTTGTACAGTTTTGTCAATGATCGGCATAGTTAAACAATATTTAATAGCGGCGTCCGACATTCCTTATTCTGCAAATCATGCAAATAAAAGGGAATACATTTATTGTTACTGGAGGGTAAATATTATTGTAGTTAATTGAACTATATTACTAAAAAAAATACTGTTTTTAAATTGAAATTTTTTTTTAGAGGAAGTGGATTAGGATTATCTGCGGCTCAAGAATTATTGAGATTAGGAGCAAATGTGGTGGTAAATATTATTATATATATATTGGAATTTTATTTTTTTTTAAAAAAAAAAAATTTTTTTTTTTCGATAGGTAATCGATTTGAAAAATGACGGGAAATCATTTTTTAAAGGTCAAGAAAAAAATGTTTTATTTGTTCAAGCGGACGTAACATCTGAAGTATGTATTAAATATATATTTTTTTTTGTTAAAATTTACCGACAAAAAGATTTGAACCGATTTATTTTGTTTTCAGGAAGAAATATCTAAAGCTATTCAACAAGCAGTTGAAAAATTTGGGGAGAATATTCGTGGAGTTGTAAATTGTGGTGGTGTATTTATAGTAGGAAAAGTATGTTTTTACAATCAGTTATTTATGTTATCTGTCATGAAATTTTAATTGAAATTATTTTCAATCGAATAATAATAGATCATTGGTTCAAATGGGAAACCATTGGATTTGAATACATTTAAATTTGGTATTAACGTTAATCTGGTAAATACAAATTTTTAATCAAATAATTTAATTAAAATAATTCACACGCACATATTTATATATTTATATTATTTAGGTCGGAACTTTTAACGTATGTAGGCTAGTAGCCGCACAAATGGTTAAACAAAAACCATTAGAAGAAGGTAATATATCTTTTATTTATAAAATATTTCAACCAATACGTGACTAATATATTATGATTAATATTTCAATCAGGAGAAAGAGGTGTAATAGTAAATATATCATCAATCGCTTATCAAGATGGTCAAGTAGGACAAGTTACTTATTCTGCAACTAAAGGTGGTGTGGCTTCGATGACCTTACCTATGACGAGAGATTTATCTAGATTTGGTATTAGAGTTGTTGCTATTGCTCCCGGATTATTTGGTATTTATAATATTGCGTACTATTTTATTTAATATTTAATATTTATTTATCATTTTGAAATTTTTTAGAAACTCCAATGGCATCAACAAATAATTCAAATGATAGAGTATACCAGAAATTGTTAAATCAAATTGAGTTCCCTGGTAGATTTGGTAAAGCAGATGGTGAATTTAATAAGCTAGTTATTCATTTAATTGAGAATACTTATATGAATGGTGAAATCATTAGAATTGATGCTGGTACTAAATTAGGAAAATTATAAATTTATTTATTGTTATTATTACTTATTATCTATATATTATCTATATATTATTGTTATTAAAACTACCAATATTTGTTGATTTTGTATTTGATAAATTATAAATATATGTATCCAAACAAATTATACATTATAATATCGTTAAAAGCACGAAAAATATGCGCCTGCAGGGTATCGATCATCCATAAAATAAAAATTGAAAATCACTGTAACGGTGTATCCCACAAAGAAATTTTGGGATGTTAGACTAACGGGAAGTGATGATGCATTTGAAATATTGGAAAGGATTGGAATTGGAAGGCTTGCCGCTCGAAGGGACTAAATAAAGTCTCAATCATAATCGTAACGTGTAATTTTTTGTTATCGATAACAGTGTATGATTAATACACAAAGCATACTATACAAAATAAGGAGGTTCGGATAACTAAAAAAAGAGTAACACCGTTACCAACAATGGTAACCGGGTTTGTTGCAACTACCCCAAAGTACACCACCAAAAAATTTCGTAACGTGACTTTGTACTTCTAATATAAAATAGTAAATATAATAATATTTTTCACAGTTCTCCCTTCTCACCCGTTCTTTCCAGTAATTTTACCTTGAGTGATTCGGATGATTATTTTCGCAAAATCACATATTGTATGGTGCGTACACCTAAGCTCGACAAAATTTAGCATAAATTCTAAATGTATCTAGTTTTCCAATTTATATGTATACCGAAAAAAAATTCTTATTGTACAGTTCACCCTCTTTATAGCTAATTTTTAAATTGTTATAATTAAGAAAAGTTCAGGTGCAAAATTTTTTTTATTTATAATAAAATGACCGACCCTGAATTTCTCACTAACGCTCCATGGGATTCACTATAGTAAGGGTGAACTGCATATTATAAACTATTATTTTATTCATAATAATAAATTATTACGGTACTGCATTTTACCTAATACTTTGCTATTTTTATTCCTACAGTAGCGAAGGACGCTATAAGTACTACGCAAAGTTAAAATTTGAAGTCACGGGTGTTTCTGTCCATCACGTGATTTTCACCAATTAAAATTTGTGCCTCTGATTTTTTTGATCTATATCACGGATATACTTTTAATTTACTAAATAAGCTTAAGACTTCCATATTAGACACCTCATAAATAACAATACTTTTATTATGTATTCAATAGGATCATGCTGTTTTTGACATACTGATATTTTTATATATGTATGTTCACTAAATACTGGTTTATTTATATATAAACATGATCTCGGAAGTCTGCGTAATAACACAGGTAGCTCTAACGTCCCTATCCAATAACCAATATTTATACTACAAATTTAGCATAATACTATTCTCAATACACTGTATCATAATTCAAATTTTTCCGGTTCTTGGTGCTGTTTGATAATTTTTTTAGTGTTGTAAAATATAATCATTCATCTTTTCCAATAATTTGGTCAGATTTCTTTACCCATAGATGATCTTATGGCTTATTACATGATTTCTCTAATAATTCTTAGTCTTAAAACATAATTCTCTTTCATAAAGTTCATTGGTATTTACTTAAAATTATATAGTCTGTTAATAGTATCGGAATACCAAATTATCATCTTGTAATATTGTTTCAGCATTTTTTAAATATCTTAAATCTCATCTCACAAATCTTATTTTTTGTTTATACATGTGACCGAAATTACTTTATAATGCCATAATTATATAAATTTGGAATGCCATAATTCATTTGGTTTATGTGTAATTTATTATATAAAGTAATGAATTTATAATTTTGGCAGCATGTATAACATAACTTTTTAGTAAAAAATTTATAATTAACCGAAAATAATCATCTAAATCAGGTTTTTAAATTTATTATAGTCACGCGGTATGCCATTTCCATAAATGTGATGCTATGTTTATTTCTCTATTCCAAAAAAAATGCACCAAGACTTGATTTCAACTTCTAATTTAATAATTAATTTATACAGTTTTATCAATGATCAGCATGATAATAAAACATTTAACAACCTAAAAAACAAAAAAAAAAAGAAACAAATAGTCGATTATTAGGCGTTCAACTCTCTCTATTCTGCAAGTCATGCAAATTAAAGGGAATACATTTATTGTTACTGGAGGGTAAATATTATTGTAATTAAATGACTTTATTAGTAAGAAAAAAGTACTGTTTTTAAATTAATTTTTTTTTTTTAGAGGAAGTGGATTAGGATTATCGGCAGCTCGAGAATTATTAAGATTAGAAGCAAATGTGGTGGTAAATATTATTATAGTATATAATGGGAATTTTTTATTATTTATTTATTTAATTTTTTTTTAAAAAAAAATTTTTTTATAGGTAATCGATTTGAAAGATGACGGAAAATCATTTTTTAAAGGCCAAGAAAAAAATGTTTTATTTGTTCAAGCGAACGTAACATCTGAAGTATGTACTAAATTTTTTTTCCAATTTTTAATAAAAAAAAAAATATTTTTTTTTATTAAAAAAGATTTGAACCGATTTTAATTTTTCTTTGCTTTTAGGAAGAAATATCTAAAGCCATTCAACAAGCAATTGATAAATTTGGGGAAAATATTCGTGGAGTTGTAAATTGCGGTGGTATATTTATAGCAGGGAAGGTATGTTTTTACATTCAGTTATTTGTGTTTTTTGTTATGAAACTTTTAATTGAAATTATTGTTAATCGAATAATAATAGATCGTTGATCAAAATGGAAAGCCATTAGATTTAGAATCATTTAAATTTACTATTAACGTTAATTTGGTAAATACAAATTTTTAATCAAATAATTAAATAGAAATGATTCACACACACACATTTTTTATTATTTAGGTTGGAACTTTTAACGTATGTAGGTTAGTAGCTGCACAAATGATTAAACAAAAACCATTAGAAGAAGGTAATGTTTCTTTTATTTATTAAATATTTTCAGCTAATATATGACTAATAGTATATTATGATTAATATTTCAATTAGGAGAAAGAGGCGTAATAATAAATATATCATCAATCGCTTATCAAGATGGACAAGCAGGCATTATTTCATACTCCGCATCTAAAGGTGGTGTGGCCTCAATGACTTTACCTATGACGAGAGATTTATCTAGATTTGGTATTAGAGCCGTTACTATTGCTCCCGGATTTTTTGGTATTTAAAGCATTACACATTATTTTGTTTAATATCATGTTTAATATTGAGTAAAGTAATATTTATCATTTTGAAATTTTTAGATACTCCATTGTCATCAGCAGCTGCTACAGATGAAAAAGTAACCCAAAAATTGATAAATCAAATTGAGTACCCTGGTAGATTTGGTAAACCAGATGGTGAATTTAATAAGCTAGTTATTCATTTAATTGAGAATACTTATATGAATGGTGAAATCATTAGAATTGATGCTGGTACTAAATTAGGAAAATTATAAATTTATTTATTATTAAGTTATTATTATTTATGGTTTTTACTTCAAATCACCGGGGGTGATCATCACCGTTGGCCAGAATTATCAATTTTTACCGGCACTATATTTTTTTAATGCTGGTCGATTGTAATAATTTCAGTCACAGGTGATCATCACCCCGGTGATAGTTAGAAAAATTCATTATTTATTATCTATATATTATCTATATATTATTTTATTAAACTACCAATATTTGTTGATTTTGTATTTGATAAATTATAAATATATGTATTCAAACAAATTATTATACGTTATAATATCGTTAAAAGCACGAAAAATAGTATGCGCCTGCAGGGTATCATCCATAAAATAAAAACTAAAAATCACTGTAAACGGTGTATCCCACAAAGAAATTTTGGGATGCTAGACTAACGGGCAGTGATGATGCATTTGAAATATTGGAAAGGACTGGAATTGGAAGGCTTGCCGCTCGAAGGGACTAAATAAAGTCTCAATCATAATCGTAACGTGTTATCGATAACATGTATGATTAATACACAAAGCATATACAAAATAATAATGTTTCGGGATTTACGTTCCTTATGGATAACTAAAAAAAGAGTAACACCGTTACCAACATCATTATGAAAATGGTAACCAGGTTTGTTGCAACTACCCCAAAGAACACCGCCAAAAAATTTTCGTAACGTGACTTTGTACTTCTTATATAAAATAAACATAGTAATATTTTTCACAGTTCTCCCTTCTCACCTGTTCTTTCCAGTAATTTCATCTTGAATGATCGGGTGATTATTCTCGCGAAACCACATATTGTATGGTGCGTAACACCTAAACTCGACAAAAATTTAGCATAAATTCTAAATGTATCTAGTTTTCCAATTTATATGTATACCGAAAAAAAATTCTTATTACAGTTCACCCTCTTTATAGCTAGCTAACTTTTAAATTGCTATAATTAAGAAAAGTTCAGGTGCAAATTTTTTTTTATTTATAATAAAATGACCGACCCTCAATATAGTGAATTTCTCACTAACGAATTTTAATCTCCATGGGATTCACTATAGTAAGGGTGAACTGCATATTATAAACTATTATTTTATTCATAATAATAAATTATTATGGTACTGCATTTTACCTAATACTTTTGCTATTTTTATTCCTACGCAAAGTTAAAATTTAAAGTCACGGGTGTTTCTGTCCATCACGTGATTTTTCACCAATTAAATTTGTGCCTCTGATAAATAAGCTCAAGACTTCCATATTAGACATCTTATAAATAACAATACTTTTATTATATATGTATTTAATAGGATCATGCTGTTTTTGACATACTGATATTTTCATATATGTATGTTCACTAAATGATAATTTTTTTTAGTGTTGTAAAATATCATCATCCATCTTTTCCAATAATTTGGTCAGACTTTCTTTACCCATAGATGATCTTATGGCTTATTACATGCATGATTTCTCTAATAATTCTTAGTCTTAAAACATAATTCTCTTTCATAAAGTTCATTGGTATTTACTTAAAATTATATAGTCTGTTAATAGTATCGGAATACCAAATTATCATCTTGTAATATTGTTTCAGCATTTTTTAAATATCTTCTTTAAATTTCATCTCACAAATCTTTATTTTTGTTGTTTATACATGTGACCAAAATTATTTATAATGCCATAATTATATAATTTGGAATGCCATAATTCATTTGGTTTAT